TAATTGCTTTGGAACTTTGCCATTTGTTTTCTTGCTGTGCTTATAAAAGTACCTGTACATGACTCTCAAAGCCAAAACTACATCGAATTGAATTGTACCGTTTAACCATCAACGCCTTCTTGAACTGACGGCACAAATTATGCGTCTTGTCGGGTTCCCATGAAAGGAGGGGGAGGGGGGGGGGAGCAAGAAAAATTACATGTTATTTTATAGTGGACTGATGAATTTATTCAACATTCGCTGACTGGTTTGGTGCTCCACTCTCCACTCAATCAATCTAGTACGGTGAATCTTTCGACTAAACAAGGAAAGATAAGATCGCTGTATTAATGTCTATTGTTTTTTCTTTTCGCGAAATGGCCTAAGTCCTAGTCTTTGTTCATAATGTCTCTATGAAGTCAGCTGGTTATGATTTTCTCACTTCCCCTCTCTGGTTCTGATTAATTGATTAATGACATTGATAACGTTGTCGAAACAAGCTTTTCTAACTGAATTAAAAGTTCAGCCTAGGAGGTAATCTTAGGCTTAAATTTGATTCCCTTTCGCAAACAGGCGCAAGCTAATAACAAAAAATACTTCAAAATAAACGTTCTTCAACTTCTCACCTCGTATTCTCCTCAGGGTTGTTATATGAATCTTCGTTAGTTTGTCAGATCACTTCATTACAACAGACTGGCTCTTAATCCGGCAGCTCATTCTACCATAGCTTATAAATTTAAATGATCACCTGAGAAACTTTTCAACCTCAGGGAGAAATTGATGGACTAAATTTTCATAAGGTTTGTTCGATTATGTGAGCTATAAAACAATTTCAGGTATTATACAGGTGTCTCAGAATAACAAACGGGTAGCTGTAAGAACCATACCAACCGTCGGTCAACCATCAACAAACAGTCACGCTAAACGAAACAGAAGTACTGGAAGAGCGTAGTACAGTCGAATCTGTTTTAAGCAGCGCCGTATTCAACGGTCTCCCTGCATGTATTGAGCGGTCGGTTACCAAAGTCCCGAGTTTGTTTCCCCTTTGATCACTGTAATTTTCACCTTCTATTTAGTGGTCACGGTCACCCTTTACAAAATCTTAACGGCCTGTTTGTTTTGTCTTCCACCTGCATTGAACGGTCACCTAAAGCTGACTCACTCAAATAAAGGTAAGAATAATCTTTCAAGTAATTTTTAAACCATGTTTCTCTCCCAAAATAAAAGTAAATAGTATTTTTGAGCGAGATTCTGTACATTAAGTGGTCAATCATAGCATAAGTGGCGTTGTGCATCGTTCTTTATATTATACCCGTAATCTGTGGGACTTGTAATAAGAGGTCAACCTGTATTAAGCGGCCACCCTGCTATTCTTAGGGTTGACCACTAAATATAGGTTCGATTGCATTACAATCACGATTCTAGTTATGCGCATTCTATCCTAAAGAAGAGTTCTGTTTCGATAACTTTGGCAGCGTCAGAGAAGGACCGAAAAGGTACGATATGCCTTATCCTCTAGCTTCAAGAAAAAATTAGAATAATTTCACCGTGCAAAAGACATTTTTTGAAAACCCCATAGAAGTTTCCACCTCAGAGGTTTGTTTTTAGAGGAGTTCTTGGTAGTTGCTGATGATAAAGTGGGCACAATCACTAGTTTGGGTAACTTTTGACCGTCTCCATCGGTTATGAAGTCGTTGGTGTCTTACCATGCGATGAGAAGGGAAGGGCTTGGGACACTCTTACGAGGGTGATTTTTACCGTAGATAAGTCAGATATTGATACAAGGTTCTGCATGGCCATAATAATGAAACTGCCTGTTATGAAGGGGCTCGATGAGAACGGGTTCTTTGTTTCTTGTGAGGCTATATCATACTATGCTGCGCCTCTTGTAACACGTTTTCAGTTCTTATTTCATTTTGACGTCATCCACTTTCTATAGCAGATCCAACGCACGGCAATACGGGATCCATTTTTTTAAAGTATACAGTACTTGGGCTTTGGTGAAATCATGACTTAAGTTAATTAACTTCACTTGGTAACATGCAATTGTAGTTTCCTAACACTTCAGAGTTAGTTGTCAGTTATATTACGGCGTTAGGAGGGATAAAACTAAAGATGGCTGGAGCTCATGTGAAGCTTCATGATCATGCGTACAGCATGTAAATAAATACCCCAAACAGTGTTACATCACAGCAAATCACAGTTATTTTGTATTTGTTTTTGTGCCAGAACCACGGCATATACCGAGCAACCTAACATAACGGTTTCGGGGGTTCTAAAAATATAACGCAAGCTGAAGATGTTACAAAATAGATTTGAAAAAAATGTATAAACGGAATATAAAGTAACACACAATATTAGCATGTATGGTATATAACCTTCATCGACATAATTACTTGAGGTACTTGAGAGGTTGATCCTAATGAGCCTAACAATTCTCCTTTTATTCTGACTAATGCTCTGCATTTGGAGACGACAGCGCTAGCCTACATTAACTGAGGAAGGGACACCAAAAAATGTTTCAGAAAATTCAAATTTAAAGCGTTATTTTTACAATAAGTCGACGACCAACATTGGTATTTGTTTTACAAATGATTTGACTGCTTTGATCCAAACCCTTACAGGAAGAAAATTCTATCTTGTCTCACATAGAAGGGTATGACCAAACACCTAATTCTTACACGGTCACATTAGTAAGTTCTATAGTAAATGATCACCTCAGAGAATCATTGAAAATGTTGTTGCATCGATAAAAATGGCAAACCACTTCTCTTGCTTTTGTGTAAAATGTTGCATATAGAAAAGAATAATCAGCCATTTCCTCAAATGAACACTATGAAATGAAACGCTAAACATTTCACTCATACAGGGTAAAACGTATTAACCTCCTCATTTAAATAACGTATGCAACTGCATTGAAACCTTCGTCCGTTCTTAGAGGCCCTAATAGAAAGTGTCCGTCGTTGGTCACTGCAAATTTCGGTTTGTAATTGAGCTCAGAGGCAAAGAAAACATCTAGAAGAATTGTGCGGCTGTATTCGCCATCTTTGCTGTAGAGCGAGACACGAAGGGCGGAATCTTTGCCTTCTGAGAGGATGCATAACTGTTCACTAGGCTGATGAAATTCCATACCATGGACAACACCTTGTGCTTTCAGTTGAACCAGTTCCTTTTCACGCTGATAGTATTCCGTGATGCCAAATATGTGAAGGGTGTAATCTTTGGGGTCTAATACGATAACACGTCCTTCAATAATTGTACAAAGACAAGAACTCGGATCAAGGCATGCAACAGTAATACTGCGATTATTCTTCTTACCATTTTCGTATACATCCAATATGAATGCAACAGCTGTGAGTTTGAAGTTAGGACCCTCGTTCTTGAATAGCTTGCGTTTTTTATCGTAATTGATTGGCCAGTTTCGAACATACTTCATCTTAATCAATGACACCAAAATGTTGCCACTGCTGTCCACCATCACTGAATGGACTACATTTTCTGACCTCGTTTCAAAGCTGTGATGCATTTTTGCCTCTTTGTCAAAAATATAAACAGATCCTCCAGAGGGTTCGTTGCTGTTTTGGCTGGTTAGAAGATACACGTTGTTGGCCTGATCAGTTGCTAAATCTCTAATCTCAGTATTTTTCCACTCCTCGGGAAAAGTGAAAGATGAGGAAACCTTGCCACTTTTGTCAAACACTTTCACTTTATCTTTTTCTCCAACTATAAATTGTCCTTTCGTATTTCCGGCGATACCTCTTATCGATTTCAATCTTTGTTCTTCTTCACCTTCCTGACCCAACAACCAAGGCTCCATACTAATCTGCTCCATTCCCATCTTACGAAGGTCTCCAGCAATTCTTGCATCGCGCAGAAGGTCAATTTTTTCTCTATCAATTTCAACACATGGCCACATCAACAGTTGTCCGGACTTACTTCCATCTTCTACGAACTCACACATTAGATCGTAAATATTGCGATTCATTCGACAGACGGAAGCAACAATTCCATTTCTTTCATTGTTGGCAACCTTCGACTTTAAACTTTTACTTAGCTTTACTTTGAAAATCTTCTTGACTTCAGGCATCGAGTGAAGGTCTACAAGACACGATCTCAGTAAGTCTATAGAGCTTGCCGGGTCGTCCGCTTCCTCTAAGAAAGTCGACATAATACGAATCGCCATGGCAACCAGGCGTGTAACAGTGCTCTGGCTGTCGTTGGAAAAGGCGTCAATTGCTTTTTCACGGGCAAGTTGGAAACTCCCTCGGGCTTTTTTAATGGCCTTCTTTGCGTCTTTATTTAAATCGACGGCGTGCAAGTTTTTTATGCTTTTCGCCAAAGAAACAATGCTGTTTTCTTTCACTTTGATTGCCTTGTTCGTTCCGACTACCTCAGTCAGTCTAACTTCTTTCCTCTCAACAGCTTCCCTGCCGACTATGTTTTTGTCCAGAACCCTGCCAAGGGAAATAACTCCGTTATCGAAATGGGTTATACTGGCCTTCAGGTGTGACGATATTATTCCGTCCAACTTCGACTTGATGTCGTCCGTATCTTTAATGATAAGCTGGCGTAGTTGAGCATCTACAACGTCGCCATGATTCAGTTTTTCTGCTGCTAGGGTGCGACCTTTGCTAATCAGTGCACCGATGCATGAGTCTATCACAGCTGTAACGAGGGAAGACATTGCAGTTTGATAGCAGAAACGGACTGCACGATCAGGCAGGAATAAAACACAGAGAAAAGACGAGTCCCTCGTCACGGATTTGTGAAACTTTAAATTTCTTCTGGTTGCCAACGGTTACATTCGAAATACGTCTTCGTTCCCATGGAAGCCCCACTTGAAATGGAAACTGCTACGTCATGCTTCGACAAATGTCTCTTGATTGACTTCTTTCTGTTTACTGCTTTTCTCGGCCCGCGAGAAAGTTGACGTTTGAAGCACTTACCCTGAACTAACCCTTGATCGGTTTGCTCCGCCAAATGGTTTGGTGGGCAATCGATCAAGCTAACGCACGTTTTTGTAATTCTGCTCTAATAACTGATTGTGCAAACTAACGCCAAGAGAGGAGGGGAAAGCTAAAGAGGTATTACAGACCTGAATCAGCCACTATCAATTTGTATGCAGTCGAACCTCGATTATTCGGGCTCGATGTTACTAAACGAAATGGTCCGGATAATCGAGAATATGAATATTAACAAGGGACAAAAATTATTAAATTAAGAAAGCGACAAATTGGTTCTTTTTTTCTCCTTTCTCTAATTGCAAAATTATAGACTGTTCATCTGTTATCGAAAGAACTGATCGTTTACGCTTCAAGGATATGATGATCGTGAATAAACATTCGTGACGCTAGCTTGTTTATCTTGCACACCATGCCGAAACGAGCCAACAGAGCGTTAAATCTCACTTAGCAACAAAGTAACTCTAAGCTAATCAGACCTTCTTCGAATGTTCTTCATTAGTTACGACGCGTGCGAGCGCTGCTTTTGGTTTTTGAAAGTGAAACGAACTCGACTTTACCTCACTTTTCAAGGTAGGTGGGTATACTATATTTAATTCAAAGAGAAACCCAAGCGCCAATAGCACAGAACGTGGATGACGTCAAAATGAAATAAGAACTGAAAACGTGTTACAAGAGGCGCAGCATAGTATGATATAGCCTCACAAGAAACAAAGAACCCGTTCTCATCGAGCCCCTTCATAACAGGCAGTTTCATTATTATGGCCATGCAGAACCTTGTATCAATATCTGACTTATCTACGGTAAAAATCACCCTCGTAAGAGTGTCCCAAGCCCTTCCCTTCTCATCGCATGGTAAGACACCAACGACTTCATAACCGATGGAGACGGTCAAAAGTTACCCAAACTAGTGATTGTGCCCACTTTATCATCAGCAACTACCAAGAACTCCTCTAAAAACAAACCTGAGGTGGAAACTTCTATGGGGTTTTCAAAAAATGTCTTTTGCACGGTGAAATTATTCTAATTTTTTCTTGAAGCTAGAGGATAAGGCATATCGTACCTTTTCGTTCCAGTTTTGTAAGGACTTGGAATTCCTAGGCCTGAGAATTCTCAAACATTTTCAAATGTG